GCGGCGTGCGGGGGCCGCTCCCGGCAGGACCTCAGTCCCGGAGCGTGGGCTATGCGCAGCTGACGGTCCCGGCGCGCGGGCTTTCCTCGGGCGCAGCGCGCAGGCAGTGCGCCCCAGCGATGGAGTGTCCCGGGAGACGGCGAGCATGACGGCGGCAGGATGGGCGCGAACAATGGCAAACAGTACGGCAGTGAGGGTGAGTGGGCCGCCGCTCCCCGCTCTCCCAGATCCACCCCGCCCCTTCCCCTGGCCCTCCGGTCTGGGAAGGCAGGTTCTCGCCCACTGCCTTGGCGCACACCCATCTGACACCCTGTCGGCGCCGTCACCTTCCCTTTTGGCACTGGGTGCTCAGGCGCCCCGAGGATGCTCTCCGGCCGTGGGGGTCCCTTTAAACAACTTCCCAGGTTGTCTTTGGGACGGCTCAAGTTACCTTGCTGCCATGTTTCTGAACGCGTGTGCCTCAGCTTCCCTCCCCTGGGCATTTAGGATTTAGGGTGATGGTTTGGCACATGGGAGAAGACGTTTTTCAAAATTAACTCAGTGAAACTTTCTCAGGCCTTTGTGCTCCAGTCCACTGGACTTTCCTGTAGCAGGAAAACTTCTAGAAGAAGTAGTTAAGTTTCCGTACTCTGCTCATTGCCTCTGGGCTGACAGCTTCATGAAGCTGGTCACCTATGGGCCTTGTGTGGTGAGGAGTGGCGGGGGGCTTTGTCTGGCCTCTCTTGGGGCTCAAGAGGGGCAAAGGACCATCTGTTCCTTGGGGCTGGGAATTGCACAGAAATATTGCCTGTCAACTGGGAACTTGGAAGTTGGAGAAAATTTAAACTCCACCTACTCCTAAAACGATGATGGATGTGTGGGTTGGCTTCCCCCCTCGCCCCTCCTCCCCCTCTTTGCATAAAACCGTAGTGTTGTCACCCCGTTGATTAACAGCATGCCCCTGATATGCATATGGCAAAGGCATTTTCGCAGTGCAAAAGTTAAGGAAGGTTGGTCTTTCGTGAACTTGGCTGGAGGGGCGTGGAAGAGACGGGGTCGGTTTTTACAGCCCGCCCCCAGAGGACAGGCGGTTACAACGGTGTCCAGCGCCTGCAGACGGGTCGGAATGCAGAATGGCTATTTAGCATGTGGTGTTTGGGAAACTCCCATCATCCTACTCAAAACTTTGAGCCTTGGCCACAGCGTGTGGCTGTCTCTCCTCGTGTTTGTGGCTGTGTTCGTTTTCAGCAGCTTTGTAAAATTACAGCAGAAACCGATCCTAAAAAACCATATCCACTAGAATCTTTTGTTTAAGTCGTCTTCTCCCAGATCATCATGTTTTGAATTCTGCATATATGCGAAATACATATTTTTCCTTATTTTTGACAATTTCATTTTTTTTTTAAAGTTAAAAGGTTGTCTTTTTAGATAGCAAATGTGAAAGTGTGCCAAAAAAGATTATTAGAGAATCTTGGCCACCCCCCAAAACTTCTTGGAGTTCATGTTTTAAAAAATTGCGGAAAAATGGAAGATTAAGCCTTCTTACTCTGAGTTGTTAAAAAGCTTTCAGGAAATGAAGTGTGTGCCAGTCAGTTCTGGGTGTGAGTGCATTATGCTACCTGAACACTGTGGGAGGAAAGGACACCCCAGAGGTACACAGAGTCACTGCTCTGTTTTCTTGAACAAAACCTCTCCACACTCCCCCTAATCCTCTGCAACTTGTTCTTCTGTCCCAGAGTTCTCGTATTGTGCAGTGTGTGGTGTATGACGACTTCCTGTCTGAACAGCAGAGTTTTCAACCCTTGGGAGAGAAAAGGAGAGACAGAGAGCTAATGTTCTCCAGCTGTTATCCGTAAATGCTACCTCTGCATTTTCACTTCAGCTGAAGTGAATTTTTGCTGGGATCAGATTTAGATACACTGTGGACGTTTTATAGGAAAAACCTCTTGGGCTCAGCTGATTCAAGGGGACCAATAGGAAGCTTTGGGAGGTTGACTGAGTTTGGGCTGGAGCGGACACATTGTGTTTTCTTTACATCAGCTCTCTTCAGATACACAGAGATTCCTCTGATAGGCGAGGCAAAATGAGAGAAATAGAAGTAACAGAAACTTAAAAAAAATCTCTGTCTCTCAGACTGGGTCGCTTGTAAATTGAGTTCTAATACATGTCGGTGGGTATGCTCAACTTTGTGTTATTGGAAGGGAATTCTATGCAGATATACCTGTTGGAATTTGACATAGTGCCGTGGGGCTTACTTAAAATGTCAAATTCCAAAAAAAAAAAAAAGTGAAGGCAACCCCTAGGCATAGTATCTCGATTATCAAAAGAGGCTGAGAATTAAGACCGTTTTAATAGGTTTAGTGCATTTTACATGTGGTATATTTCAAACATAATGAGGAAATTATAAATAAAAGCATAGCCATAGACCGCAGTGAGCTATTTCTCAACTCTAAAACACTGGTGTTCATGTATGCTTTAAAAATCTGCTATTTAAGTATATTTTACAGTTGACACTACCATGTAAATGTAATGCCCCTTAAATTTTACACATAGTGTTGAGTTTTTAGAATGTTTAAAACTTCAGTATCTTATATGTAATCTCGCTTTCTCTTGCTCCTGGAAAACACCTTTTTTTAATTTAATTAAAATTATTTCCCCAGACTTAACCTGAGCAGGTGAAATGGGGCCGAGACTTGCTGCTCTGGGTAATCGAGGACCGGCAGCCTCTGCAGCACCTGGGAGCTTGTCAAAAGTGCAGATTGGGTTCCTCCAGGAACAGCTGAATCATTTATCACATGCGCATTGGGGTTTGGAGAGAGAGGTTCCTGTGTAGAGCACAGAGCCTTGACTTGGGAGTCTGGAAATCTGATTCCAGCTTCAGCTTGGCTACTGTGACCTTGCGCAATTCCTTGAAATCTTGGGGTCTTTCTTCTCTAGAATGAGGATAAAAACTCCTGTTGGCATAATTTGTCATAATCTAATCCTTGAGCATGGGAGTCATTCATTTTATTTTGCTCTTGTGGGACTACTTGAGGGAGGAGACTAGTCCTGTGGAGACATGTTGTAGTAAACGGGGAAGTTAAAACTTAGGGCCATGAGGTCAGTAAATGCCCCTCGCCCCTCTGTCATTTTGTTTGTCCCTCATCTCTGTCTTCCTCACTCATTTTCATCTCCTCTCCTCACTCAGTCCTGAAATCCTTGCTTTTTCCCCTAGATTAAAGGTATGTGTAAACCAATAAGTGCTTCCAGCGCACTTAACGATTTTATTTGCAACCATTCTGCTGACTTGGATTTTGCTCCAGGGAAAAGTTACCGTATCATGGCTGATACTTAGCTTTCTAAGAAACATAAGCGAATGTCTAAATGATGATGAGAACGTTCTGGTAAATTCTCCAGTAGAAGGCTGTTTTTAGTCTTTATCTTATTTCACAAGGTGTGAGTTTCAGCCCCTGTGTAGAAATCTGGAGAGTAAGCTGTGGTTATTCGAAGCCATCAGAACCATTAGCTTGGGCTCCAGTTAAGCCAAATAAACAAATCTTTCTGTTGAGTAGGAAGAGAGGCTCTGCCTTCCCTGCCTTTTAAGGTTTCTGAGTCTCACCATCGATTACTCAGTGTTTATTCTACTCCAGCAGGTCTGAGGCAGTAATACTATACTGTTAACAGCTCCTTTGCAAAACCGTGTGTACCATTGGATTGGAGCTGATGAGGGCACAGTGATGGGGATTGACCCTTGGTAGCTCTGCTGCTCCATCAGGAGCCATGGTTCCCTATTCACCATCTCAGATCTGCGCTGTCAGATGTGAGGAGAGCCAGTTGCCTGCCATCTCGTAAATCATCACATATCCATCACCACCTTGAGGGATATAACTTGAAATTTAATAATGACGATGGCAGCTAAAGTTTATTGAATGCTTACTATAAGCTGGCCTGATTCTAGCCCTTGACACACACCGACTCACTTAATCCTCACAAGGATCCTAAGTGACAGGTTCTCCTAAGGTTCCCATTTTACAGATCAGGAAAATAGGTCCTATAGCTGGTGTAGTTGGAATTGGGACTCAAGGCCGAGTTGAGCCATACTGAGTCCTTTATTCATTATTCAACCAGTATATGTGGACTTATTTCCTACTACGTGCTGAAAGGCCTTCTAGGTTCCTTGGAAATATTGGTCAATGGAAAAAGATTCTGTCCTTGTCACTCTTATCTTGTCGTGTGTGTGTGTGTGTGTATGTAGGGAGGGAAAGTGGAATGATTAACACACGTGTGCACACGCTCTCAGGATAATTCAGTAAACCGTGTGATACATTCCAAGGGGCTAAGGTCTCTAAATAAATTGTCAGGTTAAGATTATGGGGAGGAAGAGGGTTTTGCAGTTCTAGAGTAGTCACCTTGGGAGCAGGGAGCATGTTGACTGTTACTTGGAACCCTTGTGTTATACCGAAGTGGTAACTCTTTAAGCCGGAGGACTTGAATCATCATTTTATGCAAAGGTAACACTTCAGTCTTCTATAAACCGGCAGCTACAATAGAACAAAGTTAGTCTGGCCACTGGGCGTATTTTTTGCTTAGCGTTCTTCTCAAATACCTTTTGTCCGATGATATCAGCTATTTTCTGACTGATGGGAGGTGCGCGGAGCCTAGGGCTTGCTCTTCTTGCTGAGAATGGCTGATGTTGCCTGACTTTCGACTTTCTGGATGTGTAAAGATGCTGCCAAAGGTCTCTGTAATTTTTGTTGGCAGTATGTTTTTGTCTTTTGCCTCCAGTGAATAATTTCATTCTGATAAAAATCAGAAGACAAATGATACTCATTCTACTGTTCGGTTCATATCAAAGCATTAATGCAGTTAACGATATCATCTCTGGTCTGACGATAAGAAGACGTTTTCAGAGATTTGGGGGATCTTTTTGTACATTTAAAATGAGAAAAGAGTGGTAACTTTTCTTTCCCCTTGAGAATCCACTCACAAAAACTTTGTGTTAATTTCCTCTGTCCCTTTGAAACAGAATGAATTCTGGGTTGATTTTGAGTAATTAATCATCATTTTTGCCCTTAACCCTTATAGACTGGCGTCTCTGAAAGCTGCTTGAACAACTTGGCTTGACTGTTTGACTAGTGGAAACTTCTAGATAGCATGTATCTTAAGATGGTGTGAGGGATGTTTTAAAATATATGACACGTTATGAATCAAATCTAGAGTGAATAAGTTCTTTGAATAATGAAGGGATAAATGAAGTTTAGAAACTTGATACATTAAAAGCGACATTTGGAAAGCTGACATGTTGAAAATTGGATTTCGGAGAGCTGCTCAAAGACCAATGCGTGTAAGTTACTAGCAGGTAGATTTGGCTCAGTCTGAGGAAGATGTCTGTGGTGTTGAGAGCTGTTCTCATGAGACAGGCTACCTGATGAGGAAGCGAGAAGGGAGGGCCATGAGCACAGTATAGGATGTTCCAGAGATTTCTGCGTTCAGTGAGAGGTCTGCTATAGGACCCTACACCAAGTTCCCCAGCAAACATTCTGTCATGTGCGATTGTTACGTTCGATAAAGTGTTATTGTTTCATTCCCAGTCATATTGCTACTTTTTTTCTCCCTCAAATACATCTCTAGCATTTTAGTTGTTAAAAGCGCTCCCTTTTAGTTGTTAAAAGCGCTCCACTCACTTTCTCTGGGTTGATTCATTCTCTGTGTGTTTTTGTCTATCTAGATATATTTAGATATTAATTGGAAAACCTACTGGTTTTATTTATTTCCCTGCGTTCTATGGGATATGACCTCCTTCACCAAAAATTGGGTTTGAAAAATGACTTGTCTCGTTTTTAGTGCATAATGGATTTAGATTCCACTCATAGCGTTACTGTTACTTTTATTATCATCCTAAAACATGTAGATCTACTGAACTTGAAGCAAGACCCTTAGTTGTGCTTATGTTGAGAATCTTGAATATTTCAACTTTGCACATAAGACTTTTAATTGTTATTGGTTAGTGTTATCTGATTGGAAGATACAGAATGCTCTGGCACACTTTTGTGCAGCCCAGTGTCTCCTGCGAGTGGGCCAGAGCAGCGGCAGATCCCATGTGGTGACAAAGTTCACGGCAGCTGAACTTTCCCAGAATGTAGCCTTGTTTTTCTGTTCTGGTTATAGAAGCTTGGACCTCTTCTTCCTTTTGGTCACTGCCTGAAATCTCTAGGTTGAATAGGACTTGCTCTGCAGGTTCCGGGTCTGAACAGTGAGCGGGGAGGCCAGGGATCTCAGAGCAAGGTAAGTGGACGCTCCCAGGAGGAGCCCACTTGTGCAATGTGCTAAGTGTGGACGGAAGTGACAAGGAGGAAGCGTGCGTAAGAACAGAGTGACGCTAAAGAATGACACTTCTGGACAGTGGCTGCAGTTCCCAAAATATCTAAGGATGCTCGTGTTCTCCAAAACAACTGTCACAAAGCAGGTGAATTGGAGGAGGAGGAGCTTACCCGTTTGGGGAAAACTAAATATTTTGTTAAGAGACTTTCCCTAATTGTTCCTGATAATCTTTATGTTCTGCTTTTCATCTGGTTTGTTTCACAGGAAGTGAATCCTGTGAGTTTTATAAGTGAGGACTTGGGAAAGCCTCAGAGGAGGGACAGAAATAACCTGACCAGCCTGGGTCCTTCCCAAGCCTGCAACACTGCACCAAGGAGAATGGAAGCCGTGGGCGTGGGCAGACACTTTCACATGTGCTAGTTAAAACCCAAAGATGTACAGCTGTGAAACTTCTGACATGAAGTTTCTGACATTAGCCATCTCCGAATTTTCTCAGTAATGAAATATAAACAAACGTACGGCCATTGTTTTCCCCAATCCGCGTTGGGAGCAGTGAGGACTGTGTCTGGAGCCGCAAATCTGTATTAGGTCGTGCATTAGATACACTCCCTCTATCATTTCCTATTTAAATTCTAAACCAGTAATGAAATGAAAACCAGTTGTTAATGCTGCACGAACTTGTAATTGTGACTTTAGAAGCCCCGAGCAATGCGTAGAAATGTTATTAAAATATGTTTTGTTTGCTACCCTTTCTGTGGTAAATTCCTGTGCTGCATTTTTTTTTTTTCCCTTCCAGGCAGATGTAGCGGTGGAAAGAGAATCAAAAGTTCTAGAGAAAAATTTCAGAAATTTTTCTTATACTTCGGATTGACCTTCTGGCTGCAAGGAACCCACTTTTTGGCAAGATGGAGAAGTCAGGCAAAGCTGCTTATAGGTGCAGTTGAACCTTTTGATCAGTTGAGTACTTGAGTCCAATTGTAGGAGCATCTGAGTTAAATCTAAGACAGAGGCCAGGTCTTACAAGTTCAACCTGTCAGAGGTAGTTCACACCCCAGGAAGAGGAAGAATGGGGCAGAGACTGGAGATGGAGTGTCAGGAACGTTAGAACAAGGAGAGAGAAGAAGAGAACACATTAGGAGGATGGGAATTAGCGCCTCGATTGCCTCCTCCCGTAAAGACCAGTCTTAATGTTCTCCTCAGCTCTCCTTCAAAACATCTCAGCTCATGGAACAAAAACAATTATTAATAGATACTTGATAGGCTTGGCTCTTGCCAAGTTTCTTAGCTTATTGGCCATTTTAATAATAGGAGTTAACAGGTAATGAGCACTTAGGATGTGTCACTTCCCCCTCTGAGATAGAACATGACAGACTCATTCCTGTAGTTCATAGAAGCCAGGGTAGCGGGCCCTGAGGATCACATTTTAAAGATGCCACCACGGAGGCATAGAGGCGGACTAACCCCTGCCCGCAAGTGACACACAGCCAGTGAGTGGCCCGGTCACACCTGAAATCCCCAAGCCTGTGCCGGGTACTACACCCCTCCCCACCATGCCCATGACCTTGTCAGTGTGGTTACAGCCAAAACTTTTCCCCAGTCTTGGTTTTGCATGTGTGCCTCAAAGAATTGCAGTAACTGAGAGGTTGCCCTTAAAACAACAACAAAAAGTTTTCTAGATTAGGAGTCCAAAAACGAAAGATATCTTTTGAAGGAAACTTTCAACTCTTTTTGCCTGGCTCTTCCAAGGACAAATTAACTGCTCATTAGGCAACAATCTGCTGACAAATTGGCAGGCTATCCAGTGTCTATAATAACTGTAGCATGTTAAATAATTAGCATATTCTTTAGCATCTACAGGGTGCAAAATAGAATTGATAGGCCATCCTCCTGATTGTTCAGAGCATTATGAAGTTTTAGTTGTCTTTGTTCTAGGCTAGCCCTATACCTAAGATAACCTTGGTACCTGCTCACATACCAAAGCTAACGAAGGACAGAGAAAGATGCACACATTTTCTTTCCTCCATAAATAGTTTATAATTCAGATCTGATATTTCCCTCTGGTGTCAAAACTGTGGATTTGAGACAGCCGCTAATATGGAGAATTATTCTAATAACTACTTGAGTATTTGCCCTTTTGCCAACCCCTGAGAGACATGAGTATGCCCAGAAAATTGCTTTGGGAACTACACAGCATTTTAGAAATTAATCTTATTTATCATCACAGGGACTCTCGGAAGAGTGTTTGTTATTATCCTGAGTTTATAGGTAAGGAAACCGAGGTCTTGAAGATTAAATGACTTGCCTCGATTTCACAGTGAAGGTTAGATGGGGTCATTCTGATTTTAAATTTAGCATACTTTCCATTATATCATTATTCTCCTTTAGGAGCTTTAAGAAAACAATATAATCACGTTAGAGGATTTTCACCAGGTATTCTTGAGTATTTTACGTCACTTACACCTAAGGGTGCAAGTGGGGATCTGCAAGCATGGGTCCTTTTGCCGCTTTCGCGGTTTTACTGGTAGAGAAGCCTGGCACCTACTGGTCATCTCAGGCCACAGATCTGTGCCAGGGCGCAGGGCGGCAGCCGCACAGTGATAAAATGATTATGGCGCGAATGCAGAGCGAATCATTGTTAGATAAATGTTCATGACACGGTGACATTATTCGTTAGAGCGTACTCGCTCATTGGAAAAACTCAGCTGGGGCTTTGAGGGGGTGTTTCCCTCTAAAAATCTCCCCTTGCGATGCTCAAGTTATTTTCCAGCTGGGAAGATTAGCAGTAAAATTGGGGATCTCTAAAATTGGGGATCCTCAGCATCTCAGGAGTCCTGATTCTCTTCTTGTGGCCTTTGCTGTTGAATAACTGTATTTCTGAGACGTCTTTGGAGGGTTCAGGTCCTGGGACAAGCCCTTTAGGATGAGTTCATATCAAAAGTCATTGAGGTTTTGTCATGGTTGTGACAGGAATCCATCTTGATCATTTAGTCTTTAATTCCTTCACTATCCTCTAGTTTAATCTGTTTTTAAAACTTCCTATTTCTTTGTATTTATTCATTGCTCATCCTACCACATGCTCACCCCAACATGAATATAACCCTATTCACATAGTAGGTCCTCAGTATATTTTTTGTTAAACAATTAAATAAAGAAGAATGTGGGGCTATGACCTTTATTGGATCTTAAAAAAAACTTATGAAAATCCTCTCATATTTTCCATGAACTTTTCTTAGACTTTGACATTTTACTCTTAAAAAGTTTCTCTGGACATGTTTTCTTCTGAAGATATTCTTTCTAGCTTGGCCTGTTATTTTTAACAATGCGGTTCCATCTTTTTATGGATGAAAATAGTTTAACTTGTGTATTTAGGAAAAATGAAATATGTACTTTTGGCATCGCTGAAGAAATTTCAGCTTCACTGCTTTATAGTACTTTATAGTTGACCTAACTATTTTTAATGGTTATTATTGAGTAGACTGCTACCGTATTTTTTATTGAAAATTATATTGTTTGGTAATATTTGTTTCAGTTGATTGAAATTAAAGTTAATTTTAGTGAATCAGTAATTTAGAAAACATTTTAAATATTTGATCTTTAAATTAATTAATCATTCCTTCTGTTTCTGGATTAAAGGGTCAGGATTTTGAATCCTTTCGAATTAATATATTGACCTACTTTATCACATCTCTATTTTTCTCCTTTTGTTATACAAAATATAAAAGTTATGTATGTTTGGTATGCTTGGAAAGGTTTCTAGTAGATATTCAGTCTCTGGCTTCCCATATTCCTAAAACCAGAAGTGAAATAGTCAATTTGAGAAAGAAAAAAAAGATTGAGCTGGAGGGTGTATGGATGTGTGCATGTAAGACTATATTTAAGTAACCCTTTGGTATAAATTAAGCAAAGTCCATTATTTCTCACATCTATTTCTTTCTGTAAATGGAGAGAAATACATATTCCATAAGGGATTTAAGAAATACAATGAAAATTAAAGCATCATTTGTTTCTTTAATAATTTTGTATCTGTTAGAGGAACAGCTTCAGACAAGGGGTCGGGCACCTTAAGAATCAAGCAAAAGAAGAAGCAAATAGCCCAACCATCTGAGCTTTCTGAGATGGAACTTGGAGTAGAGGTGACTGCTTTATCAACAGAGGACTTGACTTGAAATGGTTCTGTGACGTGATTTTGCTTGGAATCGTATGTTTTAGTTTGTTTATCTGAATGTATGTATGTTCAGGTCAGATGAGTGGATATAATACCTCATTGGTGGGGATTTTACTCTGCGTGACACCAAGCTTTTTGTTGATATTTGTTTTGAAGTGCTAGAGTATTAATTCAGATATATAGGCAACATTCATATGCCCATTTTTTTTTTTTTTAAATTTTAAAGATCAACAGCTGCTTCATTGGTTGGAAAGATTTACGTAGCCCCGTTTGGACAATGAATATTCAACGTATTGCTATGAAAGTGCATTTTAAGGCATGGCGTTTCTGTCCTGAACAGCTTACTTTTCATATCTTGTTCTGCATCCACTTTGCTTAGTTCATTATATTTTAATGATTTTCTCTATTTTCTATCTCTCTTGGAAGATCTCTCCTGTTGATTACCCTGCAAGGTAATTTGTTTTGAGAAACAGTCTTTCCTTGGAGAGTCCTTCTCTACTCCTAAGGCCATGACAACGTGAACCGTGTAATAAAAAGCCAGCTCTTTCCCCCTGGTTGTGCTTCGAATAGTCATTTCTCTGATACGGGCTAATAAGAACAGGAAAAGTATCATTTTTAAATGCTTTGGTTGGGGTTGCTTTACTTCCAATAAGGAAAATTGCCTCACAAGGGGGAGCATGGGTAATAAAGATATAACTAACTGAATAATTGTGTTTGGTCTAATGTCAAAATCCCCAAGCTGCTGCCTGCAAATCTAATTTCATCTTGGGGTTACTGTGTGTCCACTGTCACGTGCAGATTTGAATTTGCTGCTCCTGCTGATCATCTTCTCACACTTAACGAAGATGAATTACAGATTTTCCTGGGGATTTTTGATATGTGTGGGTTTTTTTTTTTTTCCTTAGAGATATTTGTAAGCCTTGTGGTAAATAACGAAGGGCTTTGGACATTGACCAAGAATAAAATATGGAATAGAATCATGGATATCTTTGTGGTGAAAATGACCTCAGATAACCTTACAAAGAACGAGAAGCAAGCGTAAAGAAATGAAACAGCTTTGCCAAGGTAATACAGATAGCAAGGCTTTAGGATAGTCACGTTGATTTTCTTATTCTTAGTCTAGCTGTTTATTTTTAATACATCTCTTCTTCACCATGCTTCTCCATTTTTCCTTACTGTCAGAAGACGCCAGGTGAATCTATTGGCTGTCCTGCTTCTCTGTCCAGTTAGCCCTCAAGGAATGACCTGCTCATACTCCCACCTGCATAGAGACTTGCCCTGATGGATCAAAGCCCAGCGTTTCACCAGAAATTACTCTTACGCAAGGCAAGGGAGCAGCCCCCATCCGATGACTAGAGTTCAGGAGAAGATACAATTTGGGCCCCCCTGAAGAACCATGTTGAGTCCAGAGCTCCCTATGGGATTGGCCGAATCCTGTGTAACAGCTGTATCACAGACTTCTGTGTTTGCCCAGTATGCCTCTCCCTTGCCTTTCATAGATGTGGTCCTAAGGGGACTTCTCTATAAACTGCCTGCACTTCACATCATCTCAGAGAGTGTTTACTAGGGAACCCAAAATAAGACAATGGAGACGTTGGAACGGAGTGCCATTCTGGCAGTGGTCAAGGGCAGGATGCCACTGCTGGGAACATCGTCTTCCTCAATCTCAGCCACCCTTCAAAGGGAGTCTTCAGCTGAAAGTTAATAGACATGCACTGGTTTCCTGCTTGGGGTCACTGTTTATTCCTGTCATTGTATAGATTAGGAAATCAAGCCCAATACAAAAGAGACTTGACCCATGCTGTTTAGCTAGTCGGCAGAGCAGCAAAAACAAGCTTACAGTTCCCAGCTTCTGCTACTGGGGCTATTTTTGAAGAGCCATCTTGGAATTTGTTCAGCGTTGTTCAGCTGCTGTAACTCAGAACTGACTGCAGGTGGGTCTAGAGACCATTTATCTGTCTGACCCATTTGTTCAGCTCTGGCACTGAAATTGGACATCGCAGTCATTCCTGTGTGGTCCTCTTGCTGCTTGTCTACTAGTCTTTGAAGGGTGATCTCTGAAGCTCACTGTCGTTGGTAGTAGAATAGCGAAGAAGACATAGTGAAGTAGAAACAGATGGTCAGTTGCTGTCGCCTAAAATCAGCATTTCGTGTTATTGGCTATTAAGAGAATTGGGAAATTGACAGTGCTTGTTGCACGATAAACCAGTGGCTAGTACAGAGTCGTTAGGTAGATGAAACATGCAGGAGTGTGTTGAAAGAGCCATAAGCAAAATGAAAAATGACTACAAATTAATACGTAGTCTCATGATCATCCTAAATAGTTTATTACTCATTTTATTATGCCCAAATAAGGTTCCACGGAGATTATCAGACTATTGTAAGCCCACAGTCACTGTGATCCTGAGAAATTTGGAAGTAATTGAAAAACAAATTATTATTATCACTACTACAGGATCCAGATTTTATATAATTTCATTGGCATCATTAACCAGCTACTCTTTTAGGAAACGTTCTTCGACTCCCATTGTCTGTGAATTAAGTCAAAGTCTATTTTATTTGGTCCTCAGAACCTGACGTACACCGTCGCCAGATCCGCCCTCCAGCTTTCTGTCAGGCCGCTTTCTAGGTACACCCCATACCCTGGCCAAACCGGGGACCTTAGTGTTCCCCAAGTGTACCTTTCGTTGTCCTAGATTTGTGTCTTTTTCCTTGCTGTTTTTTTTTTTTCCCTTTACAATATTCTTTCCATGTGTTTACCCATCGAATCTGGCTTATTTCAGTGCTAACTTTTTAAAATGACATTTTCTGTAATTTCTCATATACCTTCATTTATAATGCTTAACCCCTTACTTTGAGGAAATATGTCAGGTTTGCTCTTTCTTCCCTGTGAACCTTCGTGGCATATTATTTGTATGGAATTTTTCTGTCCTACTTTTTGTTTTACTACTTGTATCTCTCTAATCTGATAAGTATTCATCGGTTTTTATGTAGCAGAAGCTGCTGTATAGTGGGGGGGTCAAAAATATAAGAAATTGTTCTTGACTTCAGAGGTCTACAGTCTGCTGAATGGAATATAATGAAGTACTAGAGAAGCCGTGCGTAGCAAACTAGAGCATGTGATGGGAGATACCAACCTGGCTATGGCGAGCTTTAGCTAGGGATGTTCTCAAGGGTTTCTTATCCGAGATGACCTTGAACTGAGTCTGGAAAGACGAGTAAGGGCTTGATGGTTGTGGCTGAGAAGGAGGCAGTCAGAACAATAAAGTCAGACAAGGAGGCAGGAATTAGTGGGTAAGGTGCAAAGAAAGAGGATGATCTGAGTTGAGCCTCACACCTGAAGAGGTAGGCAGCTTCACATGGCCACGAAGGCAGTGGGGAGGCAGGTGGATGGCAGGAGAGAGCCAGCGGCCCGTCTTTGGCAGAGGCTGCCTTAGACGGATATAGGGAGATCCCTGAAGAGGCACATGGGTGACTTTTTCTGCTCCTTGTGCTTACTTCCATGTGACAGGAGTGTCATTAATATCACTCCCGTCCTGGAGTACTTCCCTGGTTGGTAAATTTGGAAGAAATCAAGTCGACATCTCAGTTCCACTGTTTTCCTCTTGGATGAGAGCTGCCCTCCGGGAGAACTCTTCTGCCCACACATAGACCAGCTCTGGTCTCATGCTGCCAACGCTTGGATTCAGTATTAGCCACTCGGATGTAGCCCTAAAACCGCAACTTCTGAACTAGAGTTCTTAGAAATAAAGATGCCATTTTTCTTTCCATCTGCAGCGTCTGTAACAGAATTGTTTCTCAACTTGATTTGAACCTGGGTGGGAGAAGGGGATGCTATTCACTGAGCCCCACTGAGAGCCTGCCTACCGGTAGCGTGTGGTGGGAGCAGGGTGAGGGCGTGGTTTTCACCGATGGAAACAAGGTCGAAGGACTTGGCCGAAGGGGATGAGCGAGATGGAAGATTCTAGAAAGACTCTGCCTTCTGGCTTGGGAGGTTAGGGGCCGTATTAACTCACACACCTTAACTTTCTGATGGAGCCACGTTTCCATCGAGTCGCTTCTCAAGGCCAGGACTTTGGTTTGGCTTCTCATCTCTCCTTTAGTCATCACCACCCAGGATCTGAGAGAATTTTTCAGGGACGGCTACACTTGGGCATTTGTTCATCCGCATTGTTCATTCTTTGGCTAATTCATTTAGCCAGCAGAGATATTCATGAATCTTCTATGTGTCAGCACCCTGTTTGGCCTGCCCAAGAGATACCGTGATGAACAAAACGTTAGCTCGTCCTCTAGGAATTCTGAGTCTGGTGAGGGAGCCACCACAGGGGTGGGCGGGGAGAGGGGCGAGGGCTACCGGTTAAGCAGCTTTGGGACCAAACAGCCCGAGTTAAAATGTGGGCCCTATTACTTGCAAGGTGGACAGTCTCAATAGAGGTTCAGTTTTAGCTAAGCCAGTATTTACCTCAAATGCTACTTTCGCACGACTTCTAGATTCTCCTGATTGGATCCTGGAGCGTGGTGAACTGGCTATGAATAAATTTTGCCAGAAGCTTAGAACATTGTTTTTGGAATTCATTTTTAAAACATAAAATCCCTGTCTATAGCGAGAAGTTGTCATACGAGCAGCCTAAGTTATGCTCCGTTTCTCTCTCTTTTGGACAATCCCTTCAGATCAGCACTTGGAGGGAAGTTAGAATGTGGTTTATTTTTTGTGAAGTTTTCATTTTTGAGTCCTGCTCGCATGAAAGATCTGAAAAAGAGTCTGAGCTATGTTTTTATTATGGCAAATATGGACCTTCCTAGGAAGCAGAGAGATGAGGCGTTTGTGTGATTTGCAGACAAACCTGGTGTCATAGGGAGTAACACTCTGATTCGTGGTGTTCCATGCCATTTCATACAACAGCGGACTTTTTTTTAATGGCTCTAAGATTGGTGGAGACAATTCCTTTGTTTTAAGAGTCCCCGATTTAATGCGAAATACTATTCATACCCAGAAGTGGCATGTGTGTCTGTGTGCAATGTGTACGTGTATGTGTCCTTTATTGTTCCTGTATCGGTAGTCACAAGATCCAGTTGGATGCTATGTGCCGGATCCTGGCACATTAATTTGCTGTGATTTGAGTTTGTCCCCTGATGTACAACACTACAGAAATTGAAGAAGACAGCTGAATTGGACGGAAGGTGATACCCAAGTAGTGACAGGGTTTCCAAAAGGATAATATTTGCTATAGTTAAAATGACCATTGTTCAAGAACAGAAACGCTCCAGTTTTGTCCTATTAGTTTGTATTTTTTTTCTGTAACTGGAAATACGTCTAGTATCCTTCTATAAAGAACTTAAGAAATACAATTAAAATGAAATATTATTAATTTCTTGAATACTATGGCATCTGTCCTACAAGGGGATGTGATATATTCTCTTTTATGTCAGACAACCCTAAGTTTTAAAGCTGGGTGGGACTCGAGAGATGACTTGGTCCTGTGCCCTCCTTTTTGGGAAGCGAAGTACCGAATGCTAGAGAGACTTGTGTAAAAAAGTCCCACACTGTGTGCAGCAGCGAGCATAGTAGCTCAGAGCACAGACCTGCATGCCAGACTTTCGGGGTTTCGAACTGGCTCTGCCATTCGCTAGTTGTGTGATCGTGTGCAGGTTACTTAACCTCTCTGTGCCTCAGTTTCTGCCTCTGGAAAACGGAGTCAATAACAGTTTTCCCACGAAGAGTTGTTGAGAGATGGGTCGAGTTAGTGGATGTGAAATTACCGTGGCCTGTAACAAACACTATGCATCAGTCTTACATAACCTGCATTTCATTAAATCTAATAGATTGATTGATGCTGCTGCTTTCTTGATGTCAGAATGCGCAGCTGGAGGTTTTCACAGAATTATAGTACGATTTGCCACAGCAGTTTTAAGATAATATTGATGGTAATACGATGTCAGTCGGGCGGTGATGGTGGCGGGATGGTGGAGTTTAGACTCAATTAAATAGGACGCTATTATTATTGTTATCATTATTCTTACTCAGCTGACCTAAGACAGAGTTAGATTTAGAAGCTACATCTCCTAGTTCAGTCCTTAGTCCATTATTCTGCTCCTCTGTGGAGGTTATCATTCGACTTAAAACTATTGTGACACTTGCGTTTTATGGTTCCAGGTCCTACAAGACAACTAAGTGCAATGTGCCTTGTTAGGAAAAAGAACATAAAGAAATGTCCAAATTCCTGTGAAAGAACATGTCTCCTCACTCTGCCTGTGCTCGCAGGCTAGAGGATGATAGAGCTGCAAATATTTTCTTCCATTTGTTATTGCTTTATTTTTAAAAAAATTAAATGAAATTTATTGGGGTACCATTGGTTAGTAAAAATTCTATAGGTTTCAAGGGTACACTTCAGGAATACGTCATATATATATTGCATTGTGTGTTCACCACCAAAGTTGGATTGGTGAAATATTTAAGCCATGATGAATTTCTTTGTACTGAGCAAAGATTCGGATTTTTCTGAAGCTTTTAATAGTAAATAAAAATTACTGTTTTCGTTGTTGTTAAAATTCATCCAACAATGGAGGCTGGAATGTCCACTCGTTACGATTACTAATAAACTCACTCTGGGGCAAAACCATGTCAATTGTGTATGTGTCTATGTAAATGTCCCACGAGAGTGCTGAAATGAGGGCTTTTGTGAATATATTTAAAGCTTTGGGCCAGACTTCTCTGTCTGATTGGCTCCTTCATTCCTATGTTATTATTCGTCCCGCTCTGGTTGATCAGTGCTTCCTCCCCCCTTCCCCTTGCCCCTCCCTCTTCCCCATCCACGCTCCCCCCTTTCTCTCTGGCCGTTCCCCTCTTCCATCCCCTTCTCGCCCTAGCGCCCACCCTTCATTTCTGTCTCTCTCCAAACTTTACATTTGACTGTTGTCTCCGGGCAGACTGCCCAGTTTGCTTTATTTGTTTCTCATAATTGTATTCAGGGCCTCAGTTACATGTTTCAGATGGATGTTTCAAATGGCATTAGTCTCTTTTATAGTTCAAGTGTTTTTCCTGGAGTTTTGTAGTGTTTTTAAATATAAATGCAAACTGGACCTCTCCAATGTGGAGTTTTAAAAAATGAATACCCGAATGGATCAGAAAGTATTCCAGATACCCCTACATTAAGTTTTAATGTCCCGGGTCTCTGTGGGTTGGAGTAAAGATAGTGACTTATTGGTTAGCCTGATTGTTGCTAACTGCTTTGCGTTTATCTACTCAACAAAAATAATCTGCCGAGTCTAAGTTTTATGGACGATAAATGCATTGATGATAGTGTAAAGGAATCCCAGGTGTCCTTCATGTTGAAATATAAGCTCATGTCAGCTTTAAAATGACAATACCACCCTAAACTCATCATACTTTAGGCTTAGCTCAAAGTCTGTTTATATTCTGAGAAATCGTGGGTTGAAGTCTTCTGTAACATTCTAACAAAAACTCTAAGCTTTAAAGTATGGGTCTTTCTATAATGGTAATGGGTCTTCCTAATTGTTGTATATTCACAATTTTAGATGTTCCAGATAATTACATTGTCCAATAATGTGTCAACTTCCCACATGTGGCTGTCAAAACTTAAGCCACAATTAAATAAAATTGAAAATTCAGTTCTCCAGGCACATGAGCCACATTTCAAGGGCTCAGTCTCCCCATGTGGCTACCATGTTGGTCAGTGTGGAGGTACAGTCATTAAGAAAGCGCCCTTGGACCATGTTGTTTCTGAGGATTTAAGTTAGGGTACGTGGTGTGAACCAGTAGATTTCATGGAGTTAGGCTACAAATAAGCTGCTTTCTCAAGAGACTACAAAAATAGAGTAAATGTGAATTTTTTTTTCTTTTACGTTTCTTGTCATATTTAGGATGTGAGTCCAGGCAGTGCATGGTGCTCATCTCGCTAAGTCGTACCCGGATGCGGGCCCTTCCAGCTTCCCCACCCATCATTCCCATGGCACACCTGCATGTATGTGTTCCAGTTTATAAAGAGGACTGAGGGAACTCTGGGAAGTGACTTTCTTATGGGTTGAAAACGACTGAGACGTTGACGACATCATTTTACACCCTGTCACCCCAAATGGAGCCCGTGTGCACACGTTGCTGCGTGTAAGGCTAGGAAATGTGGCGATGAGTTTGGTATCCTGTGAGCAGCTTAGAACAGCGGTCCCTAACCTTTTCGGCATCAGGGACTGGTGCTCCTATGAGACTCTAATGCCATTATGATCTGAGGTGGAGCTGAGGCGGTGATTCTGGTGCTGGGGAGTGGCTGCAAATACAGATGGAGTTTGCTCGCCCACCTGCCGCTCACCTGCTGCTGTGCGGCCCGGTTCCTAACAGGCCATGGACTGGTCCTGGTCTGCAGCCTGGGGATCCCTGGCTTAGAGTATTACTGTGGCACAGTCGGCAGTTTTTACCATATGAGCTGATGTTCTGTATACAGACGTGATATTTAAGGCAACAGATTTGGGCATTAGGAGAGGTATGTGGTTTAACTTAGATAGTGCTTGGTTCTCAGCTTTTATTGTGTTGTTACCTGAGCAAATATGGACATAAAAGTCCAATCAAGTAGAACGTTTTCTATACCTGCTTTTGTTCTTCCATCCGCTAGGTAACCTGAGCGTGTGGAGGGGCTCGGATTTGCTTCTCAGGTGGCGCCCTGAGTCCCAGAGAGCCTTCAGGGTGAAGTGGACTTGCAGACTGAAAACCCCGACTTTCTCACTACTCTGAGTAAAAGGCTTGACTAAGGCAGAGAAATATATATACCTTACAGGAATGAATTTTATGCTCTATTAGTGAGAGTCAGTGACACTTTCTTCTTGGGAGATGGAAGGGTTGGTTTCTATAATGAACCGATAAACCTAGAGAAAAACCTAAGGCATTCTTTTCAAATTAGTGGAATTACATTTCACTTTCTCTTTAGACTCAGTGTGTGTGGTTTCTCAGCTAGCTGTCCCCTCCTGCCTTTCACCCCGACCTGGTAGGATTATGAAGTGTCAGACCGTAGAGCGGGTGTTATCATCTGTTGCTTGCAGCTCGGAACAGTCATTTACACAACCGCATCACTTGCTGTGGGTCAGAAACTGCCCTCTAATCTTTGCTGTTGCTCACGCGCTGTATTTTATCTCTTCTCAGATGGTGCGTTAGGCTATTTTATCCATGCGTCATAGGAGATAATTCGCCTACATTAATCTTTCTGCAGCCATTAACATTGGCACTTGTGTCCTGTCCCATGTGGAAGGGACAAGAGTGGCCGGGGGCACATGGGAAGGGAAGATGTCCGAAGGAGGTGATTGGCGGGCCCATGGCGATGGCTGTCCCCAGCTCCCAGAGCCCACAACACTCATCATCTGCCTCACTAGCCTCAACATCCCTGGAGTGTCAGGGATTTCTGCAGTTGTCCAGCTCTCCAGAGAAACTTCTCTCTATGACACGTCTGTCTGTCATCGTCTCATTTGAAATCTGGCTCTGCCACTTCTGAACTATGTGAGCTTGAGCTAGAGAAATAACTTCCCCGGGTCTCAGTTTCCCCGTCTTTAAAATGAGAATAGTACTTCGCTCCTAGGGCAAACGTGAGATTGTTTTTTACATCTTTTTTTTTAAGATTAAACAAAATATTTTTCAATTATAGTTGACATAAAATATTTCATTAGTTTCAAGTGCACAATATAGGGATTAGACGTGTATATGCCTTGTGAAGTGGTCATTCCTATGAATCGAGGGCCTGTCTGGCACCGTCCACAGTTGTGATGATATTTTCGACTAATCTCCCTGGGCTACACTTTCCACCCCCGGGACTGTTTTTATAACTGGCGATTTGTGCTCCTTCTTCATCCCTTTCACCTTTTTCACACGAGTTGGAAATTCCTCAAGTGATTAAAAGTTCCTGGCGCATTAACAGCACTCCGTGAGCGGTAGCTATTCTCTATAATTATTCAATTTACGTACACCTTTAAGTAGAGAAAAGGTCTCCCTTAGCGAATACTCGACAAGGTACCTGTCTTCAAACCCTTTTTTCTTTTCTATATTGTTACTAACGAATGATTCTGACCTCGTCCCTTTCTGCAAGTCCAAACAAGGCGTTCCTTTCATCGTCGTCCTTTACAATGAGACTCTGCTTTCTCTAGAATGTGCCACCCGTATCCTTTCGCTTTGCAGATGAGGTCGTTTAAGCTGGAGAAGAACAGTCGCTTCTGCACAGGCACAGAGTTAAGTCTTCAGGTTTTACCTTAGCTCTTTTCTCTTGCTTTCTAGTAGAGGGCTTTTTCTGCTTCACTTCTGCATTGCTGTGTGTGTGTGTGTGTGTGTGTGTGTGTGTGTGTGTGTGTACATACCTACATATACCTCCAGATATATACACATACACACACACATCTGTAGCCAAGGGCTCTATTATATAGAGAGGGCGAAGGGGACAGAAATCATGATTTGCATAGATATAGGAGGAGCCCGCAGAATGCGACGAGAAGAGACATTTGAACAGTTTGAGTTTTGCTGACCTGGATCCTGCGTGAAAAATTCTAGCCCATTAGCATCTCTCTAACTCACCTCTGGAAATAAGCAGCCTCCTGCCTGCAAAGTATTGCATGATCTTATTTGAAATATTATAAAAACGTTAGAACATCTGCCTCCCGCTGTTTAGGAGTCTGGATGCTGGGCTTCGGGGTTTTGTAGAGTAGAGGACACACACACACACACACTCACCCTCACACTCACACACACACAGCAGAGTGATCGGTTACTAGTATGAAGTCAGCCACTCAAAAGGAAAAGACCGTTCTGTGTGCTCGTTGGAAAAAGGAAGTGGAAATGAAGAAAGAAACCAGGGAATGAATGAGGTCATCCCGCGAGCGGGGCGGAGGAGGGGAAGCTGGGTTTCCAGTGAATGTGTAAGGTCAAAGGGGCTCATGTGGGGAGTGGCAGGCAGGGAGGTGGGCTGGAGCAGGGGTCCTGGCCCAGGCGGACACGAGAAAATTCAACACAGATTACCCAGTTTACCTAGCGAAAACTCCCCTGAGGCTTCTGTGTTATGTTAGCTCGTTGGCTTCCACCTTTTGTCTGGAGAGAAAAATCAGATAGATGCCTGTTTGTGGGAACAAAAACTCCAAAGGCATCTTTTGGTCACCCTTAAAGTTTTGGTGGGCATCCAATGCTGGGAGGAATGATCAAGAAGCCATTTAATCAGTGTAAAATGATGAGTATCTCATGTCGGAATCTCAAAACAATTAGAGCGTTTATTCAAAACAGACCTGGGACACTCAAAGGAATAGCGGGAGAGCTTGCTGTTCCACTGGAGGGAAGCTTGCTTAAAAAGCAACAACAACAATAACAACAACAACAACAGTACATCCACAAATAGAGGAGGAACATTCCTGCATAAAATCCAATTCCAACTAAATGCAGAGTGCATGAGCATGTCATCGCCAGGAATGGGAAGCCTCATAAGCAAATCTAGGACTGAGAGAATTAAGGGGCATAAAAATGTATACTCCGCTTGGCCTTTCCTGGTGCCCGTGAGGCTCTTCTATGCCAGGGAAGGCGTACAGCCCTCCTAGAAAGTATTCGAAGCTGTCGTAAACTTCCCAGAGTGCTTACAGCACCTGGACTCTCAGTGCCACTCCTGGGCTTATTTCAGAAGGAATCTTTCTATTTTCAAGGTCGGGTGGGGCTGCGCTAAATCTTGCTGACTCGTCACAGTGCGGTAGTTCAGCTTGATTACTGACCTTTACGTGTGTTGATTTGAATTTTGAGTTTAGGTACACTCAAAAAAATACAGTTGTGCATTTCTCCATTTTCTGTTTTTGTTTTGTTTTAAACGTTTTGCCTTTAAACTGCTTTGAGCTTAAAGTAACCCAAAAATGAGATGAGATTCTTGGAAAATCAGCTTTCATCAGTGGTAGAAGCTGTAATAAGACTATTAGGTCTATATGTTGTCGCACCTTTAATCATTATG